TGTAGATCTTCTTTAAATGTCTGGTAGAATTCTGCTGTAAATCCATCTGGTCCGAGGCTTTTTTAAGTTGGGAGGCTTTGCATTACTGTTTTAATTTCCTTATGTGTTATGGGTCTGTTTAAGCTGTTGATCCCTTCTTGGTTTAGTTTTGGTGGTTCCTGTGATTTTAGATATGCATCTATTTCTTTTAGATTTTCAAATTTGGTAGCACATAGTTTTTTAAAGTATTCCCTTAAAAGTTCTGTATCTTTCTGGTGTCTGTTGTGACGTTTCCCCTTTCATCTCTGATTTTGTTAATTTGGAGGTGCTCTTTCTTTCTTTTGGTTAATTGGGCTAGTGGTCTGTCAATCTTGTTTATCGTTTCAAAGAACGAGCTCTTGGTATTGTTGATTCTTTGTATTGTTTTCTTTGATTCAATTTCATTGATTTCTGCCCTGATTTTTGTTATTTCTTCTTGTCTGCAGGGTTTGGGTTTTGTTTGCTGTTGCTTTTCAAGTGTGTCTTGACTTGCATTGTCAAGTCATTTATTTGTGTTCTTTCTGATTTTTTAAATATTTTATTTATTTTTATTTTATGTGTATGTGTAGTATGGCCTGCATGTAGGTAAGTGCACCCACGTCGTGCAGTTCCCACAGAGGACAGAAGAGGCTGTCAGATCCCCTGGAACTGGAGTTACGGACAGTTGTTAGCTGCCATGTGGGTGCTGGGATTCGAACCCGGGTCTTCTGCAAGAACATCAGTGTTCTTAACCGCTGTACTATCTCTCCAGTCCCTCTTTCTAATTTTTTTAATGGAGGCACTGAAGCCATAAACTTCCCTCTAAGTACTGCTTTCAATGTGTCCCAGAGGTTTTGTTGCATTGTATCATCCTTTTCATTTAGTTCCAGGAATACTTTCATTTCTTTCTTAATTTCTCCTTTGACACATGCATCATTCAGGAGTATGTTGTTTAATCTCCATGTGTTCATGTAGTTACTAGGGTTTCTTCCAGTGTTGATTTTAAGCTTTATTGAATTGTGGTCTTATAGAATGCATGGAATTATTTTAATCTTCCTATATTTGTTGAGGTTTGTTTTGTGCCCCAGTATATGATCAAGTTTGGAGAAATTTCCATGGGGCGCTGAATAGGAATTATATTCTTTGGTGCTTGGGTGTAATATTTGGTAGATGTTTGTTAGGCCTATTTGATGTATGGTATTCTTTAATTCAGATGTCTATTGATTCTCCGTCCTGTTGACCTAGCTAATGGCAACAATGGGGTATTGAAGTCCTCAATTATTAATGAGTTGAGATTAATCTGGGTCTTAAAGTCCTGTAATACTGTTTTTATGAAGTTGGGTGCACCAGAGTTTGGTGAATATATGTTCATGATTGTAATATCTTCTTGGTCATGTGTTCATTTTATCAGAATGAAGTGGCCCTCTTTATCTCTTTTGATTAGTTTTAATTTGAAGTCTATTTTGTCAGATACTAGAATTGTAATGCCTGCTTTTTTCTTAGTACCATTCACTTGGTATATTTTTTTCTATCCTTTCACCTTAAGGTAGTGCCTGTCCTTGAGCATGAAATGGGCTTCTTGCAGACAACAAAAAGATGGATTTTGTTTCTTAATCCATTCTACTAGTCTGTGTCTTTTGACTGGGGAGTTCAGTCCATTGATGTTTAAAGTTATTGATGTAAGATGTGTACTGATTCCTTATGTTTACATCCGTGGTGTAGCTGTGCATTTCCACAGTTATACCTTCACTGAATTTCTTTCTGTAACCTCTTGGCTGTAGTCGTTCCTTTCTTGCTTTAAGTCGTTCCTTTGTATTGCTTTAAGAAGTCTCTGAAGGGCTGGTTTTGTGGGCATCAATTTTCAGCCTATTTATGTCATGGAAGATTTTTCTTTCCCCTTTGACTATTTTGGCTGGATAAAGTAATCTATGTTGGCATCTGTGATCATTTAGAACTGGGAATACGTTGGTCCAGGCTCTTCTGGCTTTCATAGTTTGCACTGAAACGTCAGCTGTAATTCTGATGGGTTTTCCTTTATATGTGACTTGTTTTTCTTTTTCAGCTTTCAGTATTCTTTGTTCTGTTCGTTTAGCGTTTTTACTATGATGTGTCATGGAGTTTCTTTTCTGGTCCTGTCTATCTGGTATTCTATATGCTTCTTGTATTTGTATGGGCATGTCTTTCTTTAATTTGGGGAAATTTGGAGCTGGAGAGATGGCTCAGCATTTAAGAGCACTGACTGCTCTTGCAGAGGACTCACGTTTGATTCCCAGCACCCACATGGCGGCTACAAACAGCCTTAACTCCAGTTCTAGGGGAATCCAAAGCCCTCTTCTGACCTCCTCAGCATTGCATGTCATGGGTGCACTTACATACATGCAGGCAATACACTCATACACATAAAATAAAAAAATAATAAAATATTTTTTAAATATTTCAAAAAAATTGGGGGGAAATTTTCTTCTAAAATCTTGTGGGAGATCTGATCCATATTGTTATTCTGAGATTCTTCTCCTTCCTGTATGCCTATGATTTGTTAGTTTGGTCTTTTTATGGTGTCACACAATTCCTGCATATTCCATTCTTGTGTTTTCTTAAATTTTTCATAATCTTTGTTTGAGTGATCTAATTCCTCCTCTTTATCTTCCAGCCTTGATATTGTTTTCCATTTCATTCATCCTATTGGTGAGGCTTTCTCCTGTTATTTCTAATTGGCTTATTGAGTGTTTCACTTCCTTCTTCATTTCAGCCTGAGCATTCTTCAGTTTTTCTAACTCTTCTGAATTCGTTCAGCAGTTCATCCCTATCTCCTTTCAGTTCTTTGATATCTTTGTGTGTTCTTTAAATTCACTGAATTCTTTCATCATGTTTAGAATTATTCTTTTTGGATTCCATGTCCTTTATTGTCTCTAGGGGGTTCTCATGTACTCCTCTACAGGACTGTAGGTACTTGGTGGGGATATATTATTTGGGTTTTTCTTGTTATTTTTTCACTGTGACTTTGACATGTGGATTTCTTTGTATTTTCTGATCCTTGTATGAGACTTAAGCCTTCCTTTGTTGAGTTTAGGTCTGCTTCTTTTTGTAAACTTTGCATACCTTTGTGGTTTACTTGTTAGGCATGAAAAGCTGGTTGGTCTAGGCTTCAGGTTTTCTTCTTTGATTTCGCCTTCCTTCTCAGGAGGTCCCAGAGGCCCAAGTCGGATGAAGATCAGGTGCTCTCAGGCTTTCTCCTAAGGACTGTATCCCTTCAGGAAAGATGCTGGCCCCAGGAAGCTGGGGGGCTGAGCTACCCAGAGATGCAAAGGGCAGTGGGGATGGGAAGAGGCTCAAGGGTTCCTGGGGACTAAAGGGAGGAATTGGGTTGGTCTGGATGCCAAGGATCAGGAAGCCCTGGGGAATCTGGGCCAAGAGGTCAGTCCAGAGGTCTGGGGTACCAAGACAAGAAATGTGCCAATGCCCCTGCTAGGTGGAGAGATGGGGTGGGAGCTGGGAGGGTGAATGAGGCTGGGGGAGTCAAGGCACAGAGGGTGCCGCCAAACTTACCCAAGAAAGCTGCTGGCCTTAGGAAGCTCTTAATTATTTTTAAATTTTATTTTTAATTTATGTGTATGAGTATTTTGCCTGTATGTACATGAGTATACCCACGTGTTAGTGTCCATGGAGGTTGGAAGAGGGTGTCAGATTCCCTGGAACTGGAGCTATAGATGGTTGTTAGCCACCATGTGGGGACCAAAACAGGGTCTCTGAAGGAGCAGTCAGTGCTCTTAACTGCTGAGCCATCTCTCCAGCTCTGACTTGTCAGAAGCTTTAATTACATCTTTTAATGTGACCTGTAGATTAGGTCTTTACCATTTCTATAGATGAGTTTTGTATTGTTGCTGGTATGGGAACTTTTTGCCTTACTCTCTGGAAGTTACTATAATGTGTAAACATCAGTAACACATGTATAGTGTATGCCTTTGCCAATGTGGAAGAAGTGCTTACTGAATTATAATCAGTGATAATAGATGAAAACTTATTCTATTTAAAAATCCTATAGCATGACATTTAAGAATCATGCCACAAATGAAATTACTTAAAATACTACTGAACCAGAAGTAAGGTGTGGGTCACATTGTCTAGAATTTAGTTGTTCTTAGTTTATAAATTTTTGTATTATTTGTTTCTGTATTTTTAATCCTGCACAGTTTTCTTTTGATTATTAAACATCAATCTCAGAGGGAGGCGAATTAAATAAACCAGCCCCAGTGCTGTTCAGCAACTAATTATATAACTAATACAGTCTTAAAATGTCTTTCAGATAGATAATAGCCAAAGTGGTTCTTTGGGAGTTTGTTTTTTAGAGTTTTGTTTGTTTTGAGATATGGTCTCACTCTGCAGCCCAGGTCTTTTCTTCAACTCACTGTGTTACTGATTTCAAACTCACAGTGATCCTCCTGCCTCAGCCTCCACATACTGAGATGACAGGATTGAGTACACACCTGTGTCATATGACACCAGATACACTTCTTTGTCCTTGTCCTTAAAAATATCTCCCACTAGTGTTTGCTTGTTTGATATTTATGATACTTGTTTGATGGGAAAAGTGTAAATATTTTATTTCATGGATTTGAAACACAGCAAACCTTGACTACTAAAGATTTACAGGTTTATTGGTGTCAAAGGGGAAAGTAGAATATTCTTAGATTCAAACCCAGAAAATGTCAAATTATGCAACTCACAAACTGATCTGTACAACTTCCAAGTAAAGTATTCTTTGAAGATTTTTTCCCCTTCCTTCACCCCACCCGCTGTCAGAAAACGCCTCTGATTTGGTAGGGCCACCTGCATTCTGCTGTGGGCTCTAGTTGTACAGTGGACATGTTGGTCTGTCAGTGCATAAAAGGATTCTTTATACTAGCTGTCCCAGGAGTAAATCACAGTACATTCCAGTTTGCAGCACACAGGCCCATAGTTCTTAGTCAGCCTGAAGTCTACATTTAAATTTTTCCTCTTTGTAGGACACGAGTATCCTTATGGAATTAAAATGAGCCATCTCCGAGACACTGCCCTTCTGACACAGGGATCAAAAGACACCGCCACCCTGTCCAACCTCCAAGAGCCCTTCCTGATGGAACAGCTGCCCCGAGAGATGCAGTGCCAGTTCATCTTGAAGCCCAGCCGCCTGGCATCAGCCCAGCAGCTGAGTGGTGAGTTGCTTCCCTTCCTTCATCAAGACTTCTGTCACCAAAAGTTTTCATTCCTGACACAAATTTAGTACAAAGGCAAGTACCCAAACTTCCATGCAGATGAACTCACTATCAAGAGTTTTAAAAAGAAAAGATGGAATTTTAGAAGATGGTTTTATAAATTAGCAATAATCATGACTGACTTATACCCAACAACAAGTAACAATCATCTGTCCCTCCTCTCCTCTCTAGTCTTTCCCCTTTAACCTTATGCCCACTGCAGAATCAAAGGCTCACGTAATGTTGCAGGTGCTTCAATGCCTTCTTTGTACTGTAAGACACTCCACTGTGTGTTCCCCCTAAATGATCACATTATAAAAGGAAGCCTGTCGGTGATGGGTGTCAGAAGGCTGTGATGCCCTGACCTGGATCTTGGTCCTGATAAGTATGTGAAGATTAACATGCTTTCTACAGAAGCCCCTCCTTGGCCTACTAATCTAATATGAATTCCCTGTGAACATAGCTGCCTCGTTGGCACCCACAATAAAGGCCATAGAATGCTAACAGTGACGTCTAACAGAAGAGCACTGTCGTTTGCCCTGACCCAAAGCTCTCTGTCTGAAAGCAAGATTGTGTAAGCAACAAAAGAAAATTGACACCAAAGCTCTATATCTCCCTTTGTCAATTGAACCAGCGAAAAGTGGAATTGTGTTCTGCAAATGAGCAAACTCAGACTCAAGGAATTACAGATGAAAGGGAAAACAAGAACCTTAAGGGATCACGGAGGCCTCCTCCCTGCCCAGGACAGATCATTGCATCATCTGAGTGCCAGATGAAATTTTGCATCTGTGTTCTAGTGGCTGTAACGTGAATGAAAATGTGCTTTTGCATTTTCTAAGTCTTTAACCTTATCTCAGAATGCCCCTATTTTAAGAAAAATTTATAATTATTCAAACTTAGAAAAAATAAGCACTGTAAAGGCTTTTCTTGCTGTAAGTGGTAATACACGCCAAGATCCTTTCCATCGGGACTTTCTCTAGTGCCTTTTTAATTTTTAAAAATTTTTGCCATATTGAAGCATCTGTAGTTTCTAAAATAATGATGCCAGTGTAAATTTAGTTTTCACATCCCTGATTTAAGTTTCAATGTTTATTGAGCAAAATGGATAGTAACTATTCTCTCTTCAAAACACCCTGTTTTCCTTGTTTTTCCTATCTAGAAGCCCATATTCTGTCTTTTCCTAGCCTGAGTTCTGCCACTTTTTTATGTTTGCATGTTTATTTTATGCACAAATGTGGTGGATGTTCAAAAGACATTTTTGATAAAGAATGTCATTATCACAATGCTCTTTAGAAAGTTATAACTAAATTTTATCCTTAATAATATTCCATACACACTTTTTTTTTAATCACCATAGATCCTTGACTTAAGTTTTCATCCGCACGCACAACCTGAATTCCATGGTTATCACAATCTCTCCTGCAAATAATCTCAGCTTTCCTGACTGTCCTTCCTGTTTTCTTACATACCTAGGAAAATCCCATATCTAGATGTTTGCTGTGTACTTTGAGCAAATTATTCATGAAAAACTTCAAGTAGGCACTCACGCTGGCCGGGCAGTCTGAATAACCAACTTTATACACAGCCCCATAGATGAGGCAACCTTGTCACTTTCTGATGATGACCTGGCCTCCAGCTTTGTACTTCATTGCTCTCAATTGTAGGTCAGACCTCAGGGACTGTACCTTGCCAACATCAGCTGTGCACACTTACTTAAATTTGTATCAGTCGTCAGATATTCTCCTATAAGCATAAATTGAGTTTGGGACTCTGAGGCTGTTTGGTCGCATCCTTGGGTCATTCTGGGTCGGTGCTCTGGAGAAATCATGGATTGCATCCACTAAAATGAGCAAGGAGAGATGCTGGTCTGTATATTTCAACACCTGGAATAGTGCCTAGAGTATCTAAATAAGTACTCAGTTGATACTTATTGAATGGACAGTTTAATAGGTCTGTCATTAGCTAATTAAAGATCCAAAAAGAATTTCACTAAGCTAAAGGGGACATCCTGATTCTTCCACCTCTAAATGCATTTTCTTCAAGTCTACATTCCCTGCCAATTTTATTTTCATTCAACTAACCGGGTCAGGAGTCCTAAGGGAATTACCTAACCTTCCCATAGCCTTGCATTGGCTTTCTCTTCTTTCGATTGGAAGTTGGGATAGTGGCTGTAGCTTTAGATGGCTCATGGGTACTGGTCCCAAAGCATCCGGGTTACCATCTATGTAACTGTACATAGCAGGGTGCCACTTATATTTTGCCATTCATTGCTGAGGGGAATTTTGTTACATAGAAGGCTTTCCTAAACTGCTGCTTTGGAAATTATTGATTTAATCAGACATCTGTCAGCAAAATTTTTCTGAAAGGATCTGTCAGAAAATGTGCAGGTCAGTACAAAGTATTTCCAATGAAATTCTGAAATATCCTGATGAGAAAATTATATAGATGGTTATGTTAGAAAATTAATTTCCATACATTTCCTTTTGATGCAGTTCAAAATGTAATCAATCACCGTGTTATGTAGGTGTACTGATGAGAAGAATTGACTTTTGGGGAAAAGAAGTAACATTTCACTTATTTGAGATTTGAAGAAGTTATTGATCGAATCATAGAACTTGAATGCAAATTTTCTAATCTATACATGGACATGTATGTTTCATCCTAAAACGTTTCACAAAGATAAGGATAGCTAAATACACAATTTAAGTTTTCATATTTCTTTCTTGAAAGCTATTGCAGATTTCTACTGGATTCTTATTTTGATAATTGCATTTTAGCATTTCCTTTCATTGAAAATTAGTCACCTGAGTTGCACAGTTAAATGATTTTAAAATATGGAAATTTTCTTTACTCTTGCATCAAAGTAAAAAAAAAATACTCCTAGAATTAATGTTAGCTTAGAAAGTGAGACTGCTGCAGATTTCCGTGGGCGTGAAGACCTACATCACCTAATAGCTGCGGCAATATGTGAAGTAGCTTATTTGTTTTCAGAATGATTATTTCGGTAGAAGTTTTATATATAAGCTATAGTTTGTTTAAAATTTTACATCAGAGCCAAGTATGGTAGAGGACACCTATAATCCCAGCTTTGAAGATGCTGAGGCGGGAGAATTGAAAGAGTATAGACTGGGCTATAGTGAGACCCTTCCTCAAAAAAAATTTTTGATTCATTAAAACATCATCAGTTCCACAGAAAAAAAAAAAAATTCCAAATCCAGTCAGTGTCCAGTTAGTGTGGTTGAGGGCCATTCTTCTTATTCATAAAAAGTTCATTCTCAGCCCTGAATTGAAAATATCCTTATAAAACTTTATCATGGTTCAGCTCTTGAACTGCTGTGTGAGCACATGGCAGACTTAATATTTGTCACAGAATTGACAATGGTTAAGCCATAAGAGTAAACAAAATTTGCAGTTGACAGTACTGATCCAGTAACACGTGATAGCTTCAGGTATGTTCCATGCAGTAACACTAGTATAGTAAATATCAGAAGCATTTTTGTTTTAAATGTTCACATGCTTTAGAAATTATGATGTTACATTTTCACCACCATCTGTGCCTGATTCCACTTTAAATGGTAGTAAAAGGGTTTTTTTTTAATCACTCCTGTAATAGTTCAATGCAGACTATTCAAGATTAAGTCCTTACTTTAAATTCCACATTGACATTTTTGAATAAGCAATATGAGTATAGAAAATAGTATCTTATCTCTAAGGCTAACAAAGATATAGAAGGAAGATGTTTTCTATTTGAGTGTTCTGGTAATATTTTATACTACCTGAATAAAATAAGGCGTACTACACACAAACTCCTTATCTGCATTTCTGAGAGAGGTTTCCTCTAGTTAAGAAAAGTATCCTAACTATTGTGATCTTGGGTGAGCAATGTTACCCCCATCTGCTATTCAGATTTCTCTGTCAGTGTGAACAAGATCTACAAATAGTCTTAAACTGAAGGCAGAGTAACAGCTGACCTCTCAAAAGGTCACCCTTGAGTCTTAGATTACTTAAACTGTCCTGGGAGTGATTCATCATCAGTAAGCAGCTCCAATGTGATGGGGATTCTCCAGATGGAGACACTAAAACATCTGAGCTCAGGCTGGAGAGATGGCTCAGTGCTCAGGAACACTGACTGCTCCTGCAGAGGACCTGGGTTCGGTTCCTAGCACCCACATGGCGGCTCACACTCGTTTGTAACTCCAGTTCCAGGGTATCTGACACCTCTTTCTAGCCTCCGTGGGCACTGGACAACATGGTACACTTGCATCCATGCAGGTAATACACTCATACACATAAAATATTTATATTTTATATCTTATATATGATCTCAAGACTAAATGTCACTGCTAGTAAACCTTTGTCCCTTTAAGCAGGTAGCTGCCCAACTCTGTTTCTGTCTCTCTTGCTCTCTCTCTCTCTCTCTTTCTCTTTCTCATATATACATGTATCTCTCATATATATACCATATATGTATCAAATATATATATACATATGTGTGTGTGTGTGTGTGTATTTCTGAGCTTCTTAAATCCTGAATGTCTTAATGTCAGGTCTTAGTGTATAGACAGAGCAGAAGTAATGGCTTAGTGACCTCTAGAATGGAGAAACTTGAGTGGATCAGTTTTGGTGGTAGTGGAATCTCCAAGTGTGTGAAGTTGTCTGGATTCCAGCCCATACAGAATCAGCTGTAGCCACTACAAGTTCTTTCCACATCTTCTTCAGACCCAGAGCCAAACCAAAATTGAGCTGAAAGTCTCTGGAAGATGGAACATGAGTCACATCTTTCTCTTGCACCTGTTTATCTCATCATTCTGCTGTTTGCATAAGAATGTCCTGCTCTGAGGGAGAAAAAATATTCTTAATTTGGACAGTTACATAGCCAGAACAGAACTTTTAATTAAGTCACCCTTTTTTGGTACGACTAATATTCTCTAAGCATAATGTTTTGCAAATTAATTTTTTAGTATTGAGCTGTATACTGTAAATGAAAATAATTTATCAAAATCATGTCAAGGTTATTGAGGGAGGCTGAATTTATATTTAGTTTGCTGTACATTTTTATTACTTTCATGGTTTTCTATGGCAATAGCATGTTTTTTAAAAAAAAATTTTAGTTCATGTGTATAAGTGTTTGACTGTATGTATAAATGTACACCACATAGGTACCAGTGTCCAGGAAAGCCAGAAGATGACACTGGATCCCCTGGATATGGACTTACAGGCAGCTGTGAGTTGCCATGTGGGTACAGGGAGCTAAACCCCAGTCCTCTGCAAGAACAAGTGCCCTTAACTGCTGAGCCATCTCTCCAGCCCCTAGACACAGTATATTGAAGAGATATTTATGAAAATGTTCATAATGCTATCATATACCATAGCCAAAAAATTCTTCCAGCTGTGGCAACGTGGGCAAATCTTGAGGATGGGCAATAGTGTGTTTTGTCATTAGCCTTTGTCCTTTAGAAAATAAAAACTATAAATAAAATTCTCCAAAAGAAAAGATCCAGAACTCTCAAACTGATCTCACAGAGATCTGCCTGCTTCTGTCTCCTGAGTCCTGGGATTAAAGGTGTGTGGCAGCAGGCCTGGCAGGTAGGCCATTCTTAAGTCCATGAGAGCTAAAAACCAAATATAATTTCAGGAAATAGTTTAAATATATGCCAGCCAGTCAGTAAGCTACTGAGCATACATATTAGACAAACATTTGAACACTTGCTAGGTATCAAGGAACTCCTTCCTGGAGTTAAAGAATTTCATTTCCTTTCCCGTGTTGCTTTATTTTGATTTTGTTTGGATTGGAGGTTGGGAACATCAAAGCGGGAAGAAAATGCTGTAATTGAGGAGAATAATGATAGTCTTGCATTCTTCCATATCTTCTGAAGGCTGTTAAACCAGTGTAAAATGGGTGCAGGGATATGCCCTTTGTCATGGAAGCTTTAATAAAGATCCATGTGGTTGTGGCCTGTGCAAAGTAGTACTCTGTGAACAGTAGTCTACATAATCCTCTAAATAAGCCCTGAGGGACAGGTAGTGTCTTTTTTCTATTCATAGTTAAACAGGGTAAGTCCAAACCAGTATGTGAATCAGCAGTCAAAACGAAGCTCCTGGCTCCATTGCCAGAGAACTTCCCACCTCACTGTGTGTGTCCTACTTAGCTTTTCATAGGGAAGATAAGCATGGGTGATGGTCCCTGGTTAGAAGGCTGTTTAGCAAAATGTTGCTTATTTGCTTATCGTCCCACAACTTGGCTTATTTCCTATTTGCTTTAAGTAGATTATTCTGAAGAAAGAAACTATTGAGTTACTTTATAGTCAAAACAATATAAAGGGTTCTTTGAAATTAGCATTTGATGCTGCTGACCATCCCCTCCTTGAAGCATCTGCCATGTTTCATGATCAGGCAATGTTGGAAAGCTGGGTATCATTTCTGAGTAGAAATGCTGTGCATTTTAGAGTTTAACGACCAATTCCCCCTACAGTACCTGGAGTCAAATGAATGGGGACGCTATCTGGTGGTAGGGCTCTTCAAATCTGAGTTCTAGTAAACCTTAATTGCAAGTTGTTTTGAATCTGCATCATGAATGCTTACTTTAGGTGTCAGCCAGAGATGTGGGCAGAATTTACAGACTGTATTTGTCATTCTCGGTCAGCTTGTCTCTTTTCTGTATTCCCTACTTTTCAGCTGCGGGGGTTACCTCTCTCTTAGTTCTCTAGGTCTTCAGCCAATAAGAGTACACGTTTCTCTCCAGGTTTTTTCACCCTGCCACCTTGGGTTCTGCAGGGTCTCACTCCTTTGCATCCATCCATGCGGCCTTAAACATAGCTTTGAAGCTGTAGACTGAAAAGATACTGGAATTTATGCAGGTACATAGAAGGGGGGGAAAAATAAGACATTAGCTTCCTACCTCTGTTCTCCGTCTAATGAGACATCAGCTAACAAAGCATTCTTTGTTTCTAGAAAATAACTTAATAGAAGCAATTGCTCCTCCCCTCCTCTTCTAGCCTCTCCTCCTTCCCCCTTTCCCTCTCCTCTCTGCCTCACCTTCTCATTCTTACTTTTTAATTGTGTTCTAATTTAATCTTCCACTTTTTTATATGCCTGTCTCATCTTTAAAATAGGTAAATGTATGTGTTGGTATGGAGTACTTTTTGCTTTAAGTTTTGTAATAATTCAGTGAGAGAGTTGTGTTTTTCCTTTGTTTGCTTTACAATGTTAGGGGTGGAACCCAGGGCCTTGTGCATGGTAGGCAAGCGCCCTACACTGAACTACATCTCTAGTTTAAGAGAGATGGTTTCTTCTATCATTGAAATTTTAATGTCAAAACTCAAGTCAGCAATCCATCGATACCCCAGAAATTGACAGAAGAATCTAAAAACCTCACTCAGCCTTTCCTTAATTTGCAAAATATTTGTAACGAAACGCCGTAGCTAACATTGACAATACAAAGGACAATACAAAAGCGTTTCTCTGTTTGAGACGTTGAAATGAATAGACTCCAAAACAAACCATAGAAACGAGATTGAATGAATTTCATTAGTTTTCCTCATGATCTCACTCCTTAGATCCAGGCCAGAAGACATTTAAAAGGAGACGGTCCATCATCAACTGGGCTTTTTGGCGGGGTTCCAGCACTCACCTGGACAGCTTGCCCATGTCACCAGCATCTCCTATGCCAGGACAGCTCTTTGGAGTTTCTTTACCAGATATTTGTGAGAATGACAATCTGCCAAAACCTATCTTGGTAAGTCCCATTTGGTTCTGTAAACTAATGGAAAAGGCAGTTTGGGAAGGGAGCATGCTGCAAAGTAAATATTTCCCCAAATGGAAACATTATAAACACCCCGGGCTTTGGCTAAGCATCTTTATTCTTGCTTCACAAAATAAAAATGAGAAGAATAACCTAAAGGAAGACTTAGTAATAAGAACTAATCTAGTGTATTGGTTTGAAGAAAGCAATGTAACTCTACTTGGATAAATCAGAATATGCTGTGTTAACAGAAAAGATCCACAAATCCTTCCTTTGATCTGTTGTTCTGAGAGCCTCTTTCTATTGTTTTAGCAGTAAATACTTCTTGGTCTTGTCATTTTTAAGGTTTGAATAACTAGTTTACTTATATTTCAAGTGGTTAAGCATCAAGATATATTCTTTGGTGTTTAATTATCATTTGAAATAGAATAGGACAGAAAATAACCACTGAGTTTCTATTGTCTCCAACTGATAGATTAAATAATCAGTATTATGCAACATTTGTTCAGTGTCTAGTATCCCCAAACACTACACTCTGTAATTTGATGCTGGGTAGTACATCCATAAGTGTCAGACAAACAAATTTAAGGGCTAGTTACTTCATCACCCTCACTTTAAAATTCAAAAGAAAACCTCATCCTTACCCAGATTACACAGTATGAGGCGTAACAGGCTTCCAAACTTCATGGACTGCTTGTCTCCAAACACTGTTCTCCTCTACTGTAAATAGAGAACATACAGATAGAAATCAAGGTTAGAAAACACAGATCTGTTCTCTGCAATTTTCAAGACTACAGTACATTAATATTGACTATAAGCATCAGGTTATGTAAAAACTCTCATGAATTCATTTCTCCTAAGTAAAATTTCATATCTTTTGACCAATTGCTATCTCCCCAGCCCCACCGTGTCCTTAGCTTCTGACAATGACCACTGTGTGCCCTAAAAAAAAGTTAACTTGAATCCTTCTGGACATCCACCCAGCTCCAATCCTTCAGGGTCTTCCCCCGGGCCACTGACAACTTTAGAAGGCTATTCCCTTGGTGGTGTGTATAAAGTACCGTTTGTGTTTATTCTTTTGCTTCCTCATAGGATATGCTTTCCTTCCTTAATCAAAAAGGCCCTCTCACAAAAGGCATCTTCAGACAGTCAGCCAATATGAAATCCTGCCGAGAGCTAAAAGAGAAACTGAACTCTGGAGTTGAAGTACACCTTGACTGTGAATCTATTTTCGTGATAGCATCTGTGTTAAAGGTAGGACAAGTGTTCACCCTCCGTGCACTCCACCACTTAGCTCTGGAGCAAGACAGATCATTTATAGATTTAGAATCAATCAAGTGTTGAAAAGCATTTCACAAAGTCAACATTGGACTTCGAAAGCTACCACCATTACAACACATCACATAGACGCTAAAGTTTTATCTCCTACAATAGTCAACTCATCTTTACTTGTACTACCTCATGCATAAAAATCAAACCTTAGTTAAAATTTAAAATAATCAGTACACACAGAGCATGTTTACCAAAACATCTTGATTTGTTGATTTCCTCACTCTCCACCTTCCTAGTAAAGACAAGGTTTCAAAATCAAATTTAAAAAATGTTTTGCAATTTTCATACAATATAATTTGATGGTATTTAGATCACCTCCCCCTAACCCCCACCCAATTCAATATACTCCTCTCTATATACAATATAGCCTATAGAGTCTGATTTGTGTCCCCACATGTCCCTCAGTGTGAGTCCATCCACTGGAACCTGTCAATTTACCAAGAGTCCTGTCCCTGTCAGAGATTGTCTCTCCCCCTCCCAGCAGCCATCAGTTGCCAAAAGCTTCTTATGTTGGGTTGGGAGAGTTCTACAACTGGTCAAACAGAGAGTAAGAGTCTGTGTGTCACTTAGCCCTAAGCAACACATCTTTAATGCAACCTCCAGACATAAGATGAATGCATCTCTCAACATTCACAAGAGAGGTTTCCTTATGCAGCAGATGGTGATTAACTCAAAACTAAACTTTTATTAAGCTTTTAAAAAGATTTTTAGGAGTTTATCATGATAAACATTGACCTTAAACTGAAATGAAATTCGCTGATGTCACCTAAAATTCCATTCATTTCCATCAGTCCATGCCTTCCCCCATTCTCTACTGCATTTTGCTTGAGGAAGAGAGTAGGGATGACTGGCTCTTCCTTTACCACATTCATGTTAAGATTCTTACTCTTCACCCATGTTTAAGTCACATCTACAGTTACAAGTATCTGCTACAATATTTTCTTCCTCACATCCTTGGAAATATCCTACATTTTTTGAGAGACAAAACAAGAACTTAGCTGTAAGCAGAGATTTTGACTCTAACAGCAATATGATGGAACTCTTTGTATTTCTTTACTCCAACTGAGTAGACAGCTGCTTAGAGAATGCGCTTCATGAGCTGTGAAAAATCAGGTGTTTCTTGATAAATGGGCGTGTCTTAAACTTTGCTGTAGACTTTCGTGAAAACAGATGTGCTCAAGAGAACTGGAAAGCTTGAGCTAGGGCCATCCAAACTGTCCTGTGCAAGTTTTGATTAGTCTTTAATCCTTAGCTATAATAAAAATATGTATATGGTACTTACCCACATATAGATGCCAAAGATAAGTACGTACCATCAATTCTTCCTTTTTTCGTATACTTTGGTTTTCTCTCACTTCTGAACTAAGGTTCAGGCAGGTAAAGCCTGTGGTATAGAAACACTTCCTGGTTGGGCCTAGAGAGAGCTCAGTGATAAGAGCACATACTGCTCTACCAGAAGAACTGAGTTCAGTTCCCAGAACCCACATCAGGCAGCTCCCAACCACCTGTAACTTCAGCTCCAGGAGATCAGATGCCCTCTCCTGACCTCTATGGGTGCTGCTCTCATCACATACACAGCTGCCCTCTTCCTCCCCCTCCCCACAATTAAAATTTCTAAATCTTTTTAAAAAGAAGACTTAATTTCTAGGCTGTACTTCACCACACCACACTTAACTATTTTGTGCTGAAGTATCGAGGCTACTGCAAAGAAACATAGTTTGTGCAGAGTTTAGTCATGTTTCAGATTATCGAAATAATGTTTGTCCAAAAACAAGCAAAAGAAAAATCTCACCCAAATGACTGATGATCCTGATGAAGTGAGTTCCATATAACTGAAGTTTTATTGTTGTAATTGTGTTTTCTGTTTTCATCTATCCCACTGGTTTCAAGAAAGAAGGTAAAGTTTGAAGTTTTGCTTTTGCTTTTCTACACACAGCTCTCTTGTTTTTGAAGCTATCTGAAATAGTATTTAAGTTTCCCTTTACTCTTTCACTTACCTAGTTTTGCTTAATTATGACTCACTCTTGAAACTGCGTTTGGGAAAAATTGCTCAAGAGAGTGTTACTTTCATCCTTAGTAGCTCACATTTAATCCACAAGATCACAGCACAAATGCATTAGAGAGTGTTACTTTCATCCTTAGTAGCTCACATTTAATCCACAAGATCACAGCACAAATGCATTAGAGAGCGTTACTTTGATCCTTAGTAGCTCACATTTAATCCACAAGATCACAGCACAAATGCATTAGAAAGTCCTCTTGACCTGGGCTCTGGTTTGGAAGAAGAAAACTTCAATTGAGTGTTGCAAGTTAGTCACTGCAATCGAGAATCAGCTTGTGTTTCGTAATATGTTATTCCAGCTGTGTGAGAGTTCACTGGGATGTTACAAGTTATTATCTTTCAAGTGTAGGTTTAAGATTTTATGGTGTTTTCCTTTAAGACAGATCGTGTCTTTTCCACTGAGATTTAAAAGGAGATGTGTTATCACTAGCCCATTTTGAAATAATAGATTTTACCCTAAGTCTGACCTTTAAAGTGGTACAGCAGCTGAAATTGATTGGAAATTCTAAAAATTAGAGGTAAACTTTTATGATGATGTATCTGAATCACAGGTATTTAGGTCCACTTGCACAAGGCGATATAAAGCAGGGGAAGACTGAATCAGTCCATCTTTCTTGTTAACAGCTCCAAAATGATGATGATGATGATGATGATGTAGCATGACTACAAAGAGGTTTTTTTTTAATTATCTTAACATGAATTCCAGTTGGTCTTCCTATGTCCACCGTTACTATTTGGTCACATGACACAGTATAACAGTTCAGTAATAGCCTGTGCTGTGACTGGCTCACATGTTACATTGACATACATACAGAGAAGGTGAGGGTTGGACCCTGCCCTGAAGGAGCTCATAGCCAATGAGCAAGATTCACAATAATTAGCTCATTATCTGAATAAGTTATCACAGCTTCCTTGTTAGTAATATAAATATGATACAGAACTAAGCTGTATCATAAGGCACATAGACAAAATTGATTACAACTTTTAAAATGCTTGGCTCACTTGTGGCCCGCTGTCAGTTTTGACAGTGTAGTCCTCTCTAATCTGCACTGTTGCTTTGCTCCAATTAAAGTTAACTTGCTTCTTTTGCAAAAAGAAAAAGAAGTGTCTAATTTCAGACTTTCACCTGTGTCTCTGTTGTAAACAGGTATTTGTACGGTTGACAGCCAAAAGTGGTTAGTCACTAAGTTCTCTCTGCCTAAAGTTTACTAAGGAGATCAGACAGCAAGTTTTGGCCTGGTTTGTGCCATTCCAAAAGACACACCAAAAAGTTGGCCCAGAACCAACTTTAGAACAAGGACCAAATTCAGTTTTCTTTAAACTTTTTGTAAATGAAGGCCAAACATCAAATACCCTTGGTTATGTCCTGTTTGTTTCATAGTCTATGTTTACTACACCCAGTTCCTCTAAGTGTTTGCAATCGAAAAGGGGTCTCTCAGAAAGTTTAATGTAGTGTGGAAATGCCATTTACTATACATCACACATATGGTGTTGCCCCCAGTTCCCAGAACCCAGTTAGTAGATGTTTTTGTTCCTGAAATACAAGAGAGCCTTTCCATGGGAAATATAGGGAGATGCCAAGTACCTTGATGCAACTGTGCACCAGTACCACCGGAATAGAAGGTTCTAAAATAACAGTGCCTTGCTTTTACTCACTTCTATGTCCCAAATACATAAACAGTGCCTGGCAATTATGAATGAACACATATCAAAGATGGGATGAATGACTGCCAGCTTCTAAATCTCAGAGATATATTGGTACATTTCCTTGAACTAGCTGTTTAAAGAAAGGAGGGGGAAAGGTCTTGGGCCGGTTATACTGATATGTCCTGTCATAACAGTTACTAAAATGTGCACAGATAAGAAGAAGTTTCAGCCCAAATTGGTTGCCTTTTGTTTTTTCCACAGTAGTCCAGACTTTATTACCCCTTGGGTTTTTAGAAAAATGTCAGTGCACATGCTTCTGTATGCCCAAGTCAGTGCAGAGTTGACACAGAGACTTGTGTATTTTGAAGAAAAGGAGACAATTTTTCAACAATGGTCTTGTAATTTTTCAACATATATTTTGCGTGAGAATTACAGTTTCAAATATTCGTGTTTTTTTTTCCATCTAAGGATTTTCTTAGAAATATCCCAGAAAGTATTTTTTCATCAGATCTGTATGATCACTGGGTCTGTGTAATGGATCAAGGAAATGATGAAGAGAAAATAAACATAATTCAAAGGTAATAATTTAAGTCTGAAAAATGCTTTAAAATAATTGCTTTAAAAATATTTCTCTTTCATAAGCTTTTCTATTAAAATAATAACTGTCGTGTATATGGGGACAAGTTTACAGTTAGAGATTTGCTGCTCCTGTTAGTGGTTTTCCTCCCCATTTTAAAAAATGATATTTATAATGTGTGTGTGTGTGTGTGTTGTGTGTGTGTGTACACGTGCACCATGGTAGAGGTGTGGAAGTCAGAGGACAACTTACAGAAGTCAATTCCCTCCTTCCACCCTCTGAGTCCCAGAGATCAAACTCGGGTTGTCAGGCTTGGTGGTAAGTGCTCCTACCATCTGGTCAATCTCAATGGTCCCTAAAGTTATTTTTCTTTTTCCTTTTTCAGTAGTGAAGATTGAACCTAGGGCCTGTGCACTTAAGGCAAGCACTCTACCACTGAGCTACATCCCAAGCCTTTTCTCCCTGTTATTATTTACATGAAGTAATTAAATTGTATACCCCTGTATATCTGGATCTGATAGGAGGTGAAATCCATTCATCTTCTAGCTAATGCTGGATCTTAATCTGCTGGGGGAGTATCTACCGAACCAGGTGACTCCTTATGTATTCATTCAGTGTCTGGCATCAGGGAGAGAAAATTACCTATTCCCCTTTCTCTAGGAAGCCACAGATCTGGTACAGCAGGAAGGTTAAATGAATGTGACACCATGCCGTATAATCAGTGCTGTGAGAAATGTTTGAAGAATGCAGTGGGAATTCTTTAGCGAGCCAGTTAATTCCTTGAGAATTGTCTTCAGAAAGGGGAATTATGAAGTCCCAGTCTGATCATAAAGAATGTAGTGTGTGAGCCAAGCATGGTGGCTCGTGCCTGTAATCCCAGCACTCAGGAGACTGAAACAGGAGCACTACTTCAAGTTTGAGGCCAGCCTTGGCAATAGAGTGAGACCTTGTCTCAAAAAGAAAAATACAGAGTCTAAAGTCACACACTGTGAGCTTACTGGTAGAATCCATTACCTCAAAGTTATACATAGTTCCTGTACTGTAAGAGAATTAGAAAGAAGTGTCTGTTAGCAAAAAGGAATATTCCAGTTTATAAAAAGCCCTTGGATCTCAATACCGTGTATTTGTTTGTGCTTCTTTAGTGCTTTTTTCCTGACAGCTTTCAGACTTGTAGATATCTTTTATCACTATAGCATTTTACAGCTGTTGAAGACATCAGAAAGCAAACCGTGCAACCCAATCCCCTATTGACCTCTATTAGAGTTTGGTATAAACCATCCAGAGACAGTGGGCATCAAATTCTGCACTTCATTGTCCACTGTCCAGAACGTTATACCCTAAAAAGTTGAATGGTTTCCATGTGAAATTATGACACTCATGTAAACATAAAATAAACCCAAAATGAAATAAAATGAAAGCTTTTATTTAATTAATGGCAGAACCGGTGATCTATTCCATACAGCCTATCCATAGGAGATTTCCGAGTGCCCCATCTTTTAACAGCTGAGTCAGAAATGCTGATGTGAATTTACAGATAGATACAAAAATGGCTCGCTCTTCTGGACCAAGGATGCTTGCTAATCAATCAGTTCCCCCTCTATCTGACAACTTAATTCTTTAGGCAAGTATTAGGTGCACCGCTGTCATTTACCTACCCTTCCCTTATAAAAATAGCCCAAAGGCTTAGCACCCTTGTAGGATCAGACAATCTGAACATACATGCTTTTATTTTCCACTGAATATACCCTATCATCTTTGGTCTATTTCAGAGTCTTTCATAACTTAGCCCTATCATCTGGAGTCACTGTCAGACCATTGTACTGAAGAAAGGCCTGTGCTATTTGGGCAACAGGTGCCAGACTACCTTGTTTCCTCAAGTTGCAGGTTCTTCTAGAACAAACAGTATACGTGTCAGTATGTATGTGTGCATGTATGTGCAAGTGTGCCTGTGCACTTGTGTGTGTTTCTGTGTGGTAGTAAAAAAATCCTTTTTGGTGAGTGAGCATTTCAAATCTTTATCACTTACAAAATGAGAACAATGGGAAATATGCTCCTTATAAGCTTGACTTACATGTACAGGTGATACCAGTAAGACAGATCGGGAACACAGTGGCCTTTAGAAGCTGCGTGGAGAGAACCCAGTTCTCAAAGGAGACCTGAAAGTCTTAACCATTAAGACCTAGGTCCTCATCAAGAAATAGCTTTCCTGTATTGCTACTTGAAAATAAAGTAGTGCTTGAATCTTATTAGAATATCTTTAGTGGATTTTTCTGGAAATAGTATTAAATGTTTCAAAAGTTGCCTGGGTTAAAACACATTGTACTAGTTTTCTGAGAAATATAATGGGTAACCTATTTTAAAGCTCCACATTCTTTTATATTTTCGTTGACTTGTGAAGACAAGGTACAGATGAAATAATAATTTCCAGTGCTGCCTTACTGTCTCTGAGTAAGCAGGCCTCACTTTGCATGATATCCCACTCACAGAAACTCTTGTGCATTGGAACTGTGTTCTTGATTTGCCTTTTTTATTTTCATGGTTCCCCATCAAAGGTGAGCAGTGTCTGCCTTTACATGTTTCTTAATCAAATGTCTCATATTTTTCTGTCTCTAGACTATTAGATCAGCTTCCCAGAGCCAATGTTGTTTTCCTAAGATACCTGTTTGCCGTGTTACACAACATTGAACAGCATTCCTTATCTAATCAGATGACTGCATTTAACTTAGCTGTGTGTATCGCCCCAAGTATTCTTTGGCCTCCGGCTTCCTCAAGCCCAGAACTAGAAAATGAATTTACAAAAAAGGTAATGGATCTTTTCATTTTTATTGCCTGGGTACTCAATCCCCATTTTGAAACTGAAATTCATAGTATTCTGAAAGACAATCTCTTAAATAGCTTAAATAGACTTCCTAATAGGGGTTTACTGACCATCTTACCCTGGTAGACTATAGGAAGGTGATGTCAAATGGAAAAAACTATAGTAATTGTTTCTTTCCCTTTCCTTTTAAGGAGACTAAGCAGCAGGATTGACTCAAAACACAGAGTGACAAGAATTAGAGTCTTTGATTTCTTAAGCCAGACAGAGTTCAAGGTGTAGGCCCCACCATTTGCCAGATACACAATCTTGAGGTGATCATATGGTGGTCCTGCCTAATCACACCCTCTAGTGCCTGGCTGTGTTGATTGGTGGTTTGGGGACTTCAGCTCCCTTCATCCCCAGCCTTTCTCCTGTCCCTTTTCTCAGCTACTAAGAGGCCAAGAAACTACAGGTAACGGAGACACAAAGCTCTCTCATAAACTCCTCTCTCCCCTCATGGACCTCCAGTCATAAGTATAATACAAAACCATGCTGAGACTAGTCAGAAACCAAACTTTCCTTCCTCTCCTTCACTTTATATGCACAGAAGAGCCCTCTTCCCAAATTATGGCAGCCCGCCCTTTATAGAAGAAATATTTTAGGGGCTAGAGAGATGGCTCAGTGGTTAAGAGTACCAGCTTCTCTTGCAGAGGACCCAGGTTCAATTCCCAACACCCAATGGTGGCTAATGGAACTGTCTGTAACTCCAGTTCCAGGGTAATTGGATGCCCTCTTCTGCCCTCCATGGGCCTTGCACCACACAGGTTCATTTACATACATGCAGGCAATACATTCTACACATAAAATAATTTTTTTTAAAAAAGAAATACTTTTTGTAAGTATTCTTTTGTATTTTTGTACATTAGTATTTATATGTGACATGTGACTTAATAAACCTGTAATATGAAAAAGTAACACTTTAATTTTGAACTTTTGATATAGGTTTCCCTTCTTATACAATTTCTGATTGAAAATTGCTGTAAGATATTTGGAGAAGAAATCACTTCTCTCTTGGGAGAACTTTCTGTGAGAAGCGACACTAGAGAACACAGCTCAGGTATTACGAATATTGGGTTTTATAAGAAATAGATATTTGTCTATGAAGAGGCAGAGACAGTGATTGTCCTGGAGCCTCTGACCTGGATCAGTGGAACCCAGGGCTTTCAATCATTCATTAAAATGCCTATTTGATGTGTCAGAGTATGTTAACAGTGGGATGAGGGTAGGATGGATGTAAGATGAGGTTCAGCCTTCATGAAGTTGTAACTGAAGGTATGAACCTTTCTTAACCCTTCTTTTACATAAACTTTGAGGAACTCTAATATATGTTGGAACTACTGTGGTTGAAACTGGAATAAAGGTCCAGAGAGTAGGTAAGATCTAGGATGATTTTTCCTTTTCTTGCTTTTTGTGAGTCCTAAGACCACAGAATTCTAATGTGCTGTGACACAGTTTGAAAACAAGTAGCAGTATTGGGCAGGTCTGAATTCATAGATACAACCTCCAGCATATAAATTCCTGTGCCACCGCTTAATAAGTATGTTTCCTCTGGCCAGTTATTCTGTGTCTCCAAGATTAGAGTTTATTCTGTTTAACTACATGAAGTATAATCCATGTTAGAAGGCAGAGTCTCACAGTCTAGGCAAACCCGACACTAGTTCTTTCATTTTCTTTCCATCATTTCTTGGTCTTACAACATATTCATTGCCTTGAGAAAATCTTACCTAAGAAAAGCTCCTGTCGTTATAAACTGAGCTGAATCTGGCACACATATCCCAGGAAGATTTTTTGTCTTCTGCGTAACAGTTGGGATGACTCTAAAAGATTCTTTCAGGCAGACAAGATGGCTAAAGAGGTAAAGGCATTTGCCACCTGCTGCCAAGCTTGATGATCTGAGTTTGATTCCCTGTCACCAAGGAGTCGAATCCCACAAGTTGTCCTCTGACTTCCACATATGTCACAGGCCACACATGCTCTGCTGCTCCCCCTCCACAAGCACACAAAGTAAATACACTTTTTAAAATTTTTTTAAATTCTTTCCTTCTTGAAAGTGGAAATTTGAGAACTCTGAATGAAAAGACCATTAAACTAGCACTGTTCACTTCAAAAGCAACACGGGCTATATTTGTATAAGTAGAAACAGTAACCATAGTTTAATTTCGTTGACAGATATATCTTGCTTCCAAATGAATGACTCTTCCTACGACAGCTTGGAAAACGAGCTAAATGAAGACGTAGATGCTCCATGTAGTGACTTAGTGAAGAAGCTTGGTCAGGGCAGCAGAAGTGTGGACTCTGTGTTAACCCTCAGTGACTACGACCTTGACCAGCCTGAGGTAGAAGGCCTTTTAACCCTGAGTGATTTTGACTTAGATCAGTCTAAAGATGAATCTATTCAAGTGAAACAACCTCTAGAGCGCAAACCAGTGAGTGTTTTTGTAGCCTACAGGAAGGCTTCGCTGGGGGAGCATGCCAGAGCACCGTCTAGCCCGTGCACAGCCAGCTGCCTCTCCACAGCTGCTGCAGATACCCCAAAACAGCCGCGGCGGCACCGGCGCTGCTCAGAACCCAGCATTGACTATCTAGATGCAAAGCTTTCCTATCTCAGGGAGTTTTACCAGAAAAAGCTACGCAAGTCCAGCTGTGATGCAGTGCTCTCTAAAGAAGATGGAGATTATCTGAAGCAGACTCAGCCCTTGAGGAAAGGGAGTAAAACGTGTTTTAAAGAGAGTGTAGTCACAGGCACTGACATCAGCAAGAAAAGTGCTGCTAATGAAAACGTTAAGAAGAAAAGCTTGACTGGTCATGAAGGAAGTCATGTGATGCCTTTCACAAAGTCCAAGCCAGTGGCCATTTCAGGGGCATCTCACAGTCACATGTCCTCCCAGGATCATTCCAGGGGCCAACTCTTTGATGCAGATGTACCCAGTTACTCCCCACCACACACAGCAGAGGCCCTCAAGAGCTCAAGGGCACATTGGCGCTGTTCAGAACCCAACATAGATGACCAGAACTACAAACTATCCTATCTCAGGGGGATTTATTCAAAAAAGCAACATAAAACCAGCTGTGAGGCTGGGCTCTTACATGGAGAAGAAGACTATCTCAAAAGGCATAAGTCTTTGCAGATAGAGGGGCAAAAGCTTATTAATCAGAGTTTGGTCATGGGGATTGAGGTGGGCAAGAGCAGCACCACAAACCAAAGCTCTGAGAAGGTTCTGCCCCCGAGACTGAACCTTTGCCCAAGGGCTAGCTATTCCAGCTTATCCTCCCCAGGCACATCCCCATCCGGCTCATCAGTAAGCTCCCAGGACAGTGCTTTTTCTCAGATTTCTGAACATTCTGTGTTTACACCCACTGAAACTTCCTCTCCAATAGATTGCACTTTTCAGGCTCAGAGAAAACAGGAAGAGCTGTCCTCTGACTTTAACAATTCCAGCCTCATTTCTGGAATGCCTGGTCCCTCAACAGGGCAGGTCAGCAGCCATCTCCCTTACATAAGGAAGGACACTGTAGACCAACATTCACAACTGCATTCTGTAACACTTCACCCTAGTGCATGGTTGAGAAGTGGTTTGGTCACTTTGAAAAACTGGTCCCTCAAAAAGAAGACAAAAGCAGCCAGACCAGAAGAGAAGAAAATATGTTCCCTAAATGAACTCTTTGAGCTGCATCCACATGCTTCTGGTATTCTAGAAGCCAGCTCATTTCAAGAGAGACAAGATGACATATGCCTAAGGGCAGAGGAAGGACCTGGCACTGTGCAGGCAGCTCACGGGTACAGTTCTTACACCTGTCAGGACTCAGAGCCACACTCCAACTCTCCATTCCACCTGGTGGAAAGCAGACTCAAGCTGTGTATGAAGTTTCATGAGGGAAAAGAAAGTGGAGGGCAGTGCCATTCTGATCGCCCTTGGGAAGGAGCCTCATCAAACCTTGTGACTGTGGATGATGGGGCCAGCCCAGATGCAGAGCCTACAAGAGTGTGTGATGATGGAGACAGACATTTAACCAAAGACAGTTACTCACAATAAGAATCTAATGTCAACATAAACAGGAATGGAGTTAATAATAACATAAATTATTGTTATGACCCCTTTCATAAGATTCCTGGGTAGCTGAAGGATAATCATCACTAATACAACAGATTCTCTCTTTGTTGAAGTTGCTTGGCAAAAACTTTATTTAAAAGTTTCATCATCTGAAGTGTTGAAGGGCTTTTCCTATTAAAGCATGGGATCAGCCCTTTCCTGAGACTTGAGGGTACTAGCAGATGGTTACAGAAAATGTCCTCTATACAGGAAGCTTGCTTGGGTCAACTGAGATCAGTGTCTTAAGACCAAGATACCACAAATAAAGCATCAGGGAGAGAGAGGGAGAGGAACAGTGCAGAAAAGCCATCTGTGTACCATGGAATACACAGGCAAGAAAAGGGCACAAAGTCATTAAGGAAAAACATGTTCATTAAGGAAATCACATAAAACCTTTCCCTGGATCCAAACCAGTGGTCATTTCCGGGGCATTTTCTATTTATATGTTTTCACAGGATCATTTTAAGAACCCAACTCATAAAAGTTAGAGCTGTGTGTACCATGATGTCATAGCTTTTGAATTGGTTGACTTAGCGGATTCCCTTTTCCATTGTGTTGATAATCATATGATCTATGATCAAGGGAAACAGCAATGGGGACAAAGGAGGAAATTTGTTCATTTCGTTATCTTTCTCAAAGTTGCCTGTGCTATAAACATGGGCTCCAGAAAGGTGACATATTCCTATTTAGAAAGTGGCCTGCTGGTGGCAATTGCTCTTAGTGTAGAAAGAAATAAACTGCTATATAAAAAATAGGAAAGCTATGATTTAGAAGTAAATTTTCCCTGATCAACTAATGCCAGGGGTAGGACTGCAGAGAAACAGTATAACAAAGAGATGCCATGTTTTGCCATGTCTGTAGTATTCAAGAGCTCGAGAAATGACTCTTATTGCTCCAGTATCAGCAAGAAAATGTGTGTAGAGGTGTTTCCACACTGAAAAACTAGATCCTGCTATATGTGATATGTCATAGATACGGTCACTGACTTGTTCTGATTAGTGGCATTTTCTGGCTGTGCTCCTTTCTTGGTTACATGAGTGTTATTTACCATATGGTACTTCTTTGCTGAAATGCTTCTCTACAGCTGTGTTGTGCAGATGACAATCAGCGAAGAGGGAAAAAATCCAACTGTTAACCTAGATCTGTACAGATTTTCTATTGACTGATCAGTTTAGAGGGTGACAGGATATACGGAACTATAGAATTGAATGTTGAAAAAAATTAATGCCAGGTGTCTCAGATAGTCACTGGCTTTTGACTTTCCTTCTGAAGTTTTCCATTTCTGGTTTATAAATATTGAAGTTTTGACCCCGGTAATTTATCAGTGCCTCTTGCCTTCAAGGTTACACCCGTACATCTCCTTACCTAGGAATATGTTAACAGGCCTTGCCAACCAGAAGGAAATGTAGGGACAATCCCTAAAGGAGATGTGCATCTTCCTGTAAGAAGTTGCCTAGAGCCAATGTGATCTGTGGTCTCTTGAGACTACTGTAAAAAGGACTTTTCATTCATAAACTAGCTTATCCCATTTTTTTTCCTACCAGTCATGTTGAAACTGTCAGCAGATGCATTATCAGAGTATTAAAAAACAAATAAGAACTTATTTCTATATTAGCTATATAGGTGCTGCCTACCTCTTGGGGACATGGCCCTGTTTACCCTAATCATGAGAATTTACTTTCCAAACTATGTCCAAAGAGCTCCTTCATTATACTGGCCATCTCAAACAGATATGAAATAGAATCCACCTTCTAACCAACCACTTCCATAGCAAGCCTCCTGGTAATAATAAATAAATTAGCAGGGATGACCCTTCCCCTTAGGGTATACTACTGTCAGATCTGAAAGATGTGAATGAAGAGCTTATGGCTTAGAATGTTTTTCTGGAAGAGATTGCTCCTTACCAAAATAATAGTTCTGTCCTTTTAAATTTCATATTGGCAGGTAGAAAATCACCCGTTTTGAAGCATAGAAGAAAATAGTTGTTAAGGTTCTTTAACTACCATTCCAACTCTGTGTTACCTTAGATACTCCTATGATACTTAATGTGAATAGTCTGTTAATATTCCTGTAAAGTATTGTATGATTTGAAGACTGACATGTCATTTTATTACTCCATCAATCTATAATATATTAGACTGATTCTTTATCTAAAATGCTTTGAGTTTGTATAATATATCTTGACAGAATTTTATTACCATATGTTATGTAACAAATGTGTATTTTTGTACTTTGCAGAACCTGCTGCTAACTTTTAAATTGTTTGGTTTTCAAGGCACTGATAATGGATATGTATGAATTCCATGCTGTCTGTTAAATAAAATGACATTCTACAGTTAACAGTCCCACAGAGAAATACCGACTTTGGAGAGTTCTTTTAGTCCCTTTGCATTCAGCAATTTATACATGTTGAATTGGAGCCTTAAGTTTTTATTCGTGTCACAATTTTTCTAGGGGAAAAAAAGGAGTGGAATTATGGGGTGGTTTTTTTTAACCTTTTATATTTTAAAATCTTATTTATCAAACAAGTTCTATTTTAGACATATGCTCTTCATTTGTCAGGAGTGGGTGGTGTTTTCTTTGTGTTCCTAGGGTGAGATGGACTAGTTTGTTCATATTCCAAAAGAAATGTCAGCTTGGTTTAATCTATTGTATGAGATTTTTAAGGTTAGATGAACCTGACTGGAGAACCTAGAGGATGCTAGGTACCACCAGGATATTGGCTCAATTTGTTAAATATGACTGGCTTCTCATGATGCCTTGAAGTTTATTGAAGTGGTTGCTCTATTAATTTCAAAAAGATTCAGAATATTCTGCCTCAATCCATAAAAACATACTCTTTCCAGGTAGGAAGGATAGTTCCTTTCACAGATGTTTCTAATTATATTTTGGCAATACACACATACACACACACACACACACACACACACACGTTAATTATTCTCTAAATTTTAGAAAAACACTAATATTGATTTTGAGGAGGATTCAGTCTATTGTTGTTAGTAAATTAAGAAGCTATCTTCTTTAAACTCTTCTACTTTTAGTGACATAACATTGATTCAAATGTTCTGATGGATCAACGCAACAACAAGCTTTTTCCGTTAAAAAAAAAAAATATTCCTAGTAAGCTTCACACCTGAACAAAAAATTTGGGTAAAACATTCACGTTCTAAATTTCCTTCATTTGGATTATGAGGCTTTCTGATAAAGTTTCCTGTGAATGACAGAGGCTCTCGTGTCCTGCTGCCATCCTGAATGCTACTTGGCTTCCGTGCAAACTTCTTGCTGTATTTTTTCTCTTTTAAAATACAGTAAAATCCTTGAGCCTCATGTTTGCACAATGTCACATGTTCTGGCAGAGCTGAAGGCGGCTCTGGGGTGTAATTTATAAGCTTTTGTTGTGAATCTCACTGAGAGAGAGAAAGAGTTGATAGAATCATTAGGAGGTTGCTCATTATGCTCTTTCTGTGTAGCACAGAGACCCATATATATTTTGATGATTTAAAGTGTTTTCCTAATTTTTTCATTTTTCAACAAGTAAAAGTGTTCTCTAAACTTTAATCTCAGGTAGCAATAGAAGCAGCAGGTTTTTATAGGCATTGAGATTTAAATGCTATTTGTTTTCATCATCTTAAGTTTTAGGTTACATTAACTAGGAATTAAATTTAGAAATTCTCTTTGCAGTCTCCTGAATAAGAACCAAATAAATTTACTAAAACTTGTGAGATAATCTGTTACTCTGAGAATATTTAATGGGTGCTACAAAAACAGTTATTCCTCCCCTGCCAGATCATGGGAGCTGTGGTTATTACTGCCTACAATTTTCAGGTGTAAAGAAAGTATTTTATATCTTTGTCCAAAAAGTAGAGAAATTGAGAAGCAGAGAATATCCAAATACACAAATGTTGAGAACCTTCCTGCTTGGTGGCACAGTGAACAAGAAGGGGAGGAAAGCCTCAGGTGAGCTATTCAGGATACTGAATCACAAAGATTCTCAAAGAGCAAGACATCACTATGAGAATTGTGAAAGACGGGAGCTGGGATTTAAACAGAAACTATAGAACTGCTCATATGAGAGAGAGATGAAGACAAAAGGAAGTCAGCTTTAATGAAATTTTCTACACAAAAAAGCAGCCAAGTCCTCACCACACTATTTGCACTAGGCCACGGTCGGCAGTGACCACTACGGAGGTGTTTCTCCCTGAACATAGGTGAGGTTAGAGCAAGTGAGCTGGACAGGGACATCAAGGCTGCAGAGATGCAGCCAAGGACTGAATAACTGCTCTGTGTACAGACAGCACAGCAAGCTATGGAAATGGAGGCAGACCTGCCTCACCGGAATCTGAAACTGAGACTCTCCACGGGCACTTTAGAGTTAGTTGTTTGAGAGGAACTGTCCCTACCACTGCCTGGGCAAGTTACACAGGAACATTAGAAGTGTGCCCCAAGCTAGGTGCAGTCTTCTGACAGGCCTGGCTGGGAAGGGAGATAGACAATTTATTCAGTTTTAACAAAAATTTCACAAACCTAGAGAAAAAAAAAAAAAAAAAAAGAAGCATTTAGAATCACAAGTAGACATGATCAGAGAAAAACCTCTCCCCAGTAATTCAGTCTACATGGCAAAACTACTAAGCAAAGAAACAATATTAAAAGCTATAAAGGATGGCGTCCAGCTCACATTTAACATGACAACATATCATCAACCCTAAAATCTAGGAAAACATGAATTTGTTTCAAGCCCTGAGAGTAAATAATTCCCAGCCAAGATTGCTATACCAAGTAAAATAATCTTTTTAAATGGGTTGAGAAATAACATATCACTAGCTAAGGAAACATGTCAAGCCAGCACCACAGAAAATACATAAAGGAAAACTATACACATGGGAAGAGGGAAGTTTCATTCAGAAAAGCACAGAAAAAATTTCATGAGAGGAATTGATGAACCAAGGGAAGAAAGGGAGATATACATCATGTCCAATATAGTAAACCAGCAAATCTAATAGGGAAAGAAGAAAAGCACATCAATAAACAAAACCCATCAGAAATAGCAAACACCTCTCAATAATGACATTAAATGCAAATGGCTTCAACTCATCTTTTAGGAGATACAGACTGACAAGATTCAGAAACATACTACAACTCTGTTGTCTCCAAAAAAGACTTCACTAGAAAAAACATCTAAAAGGTGTCAGAAGATGGAAATCAGTTGACAAAAACAACATTCCAAATCAATCTGGCACAGCTATTCTCATAGCTTGTAAAGTAAACATTAAACTGAAATGGGGAAATAAGGACCAATCTACATTAAAGATAAGAATTCTTCCAGAATATATAATTGTATTTCTGCACTCAAGTGTTACAGCTCCCAATTTCAAAAAACAAAACACTAGAACCAAGCATGAAAGATCAGATAAGTCAGAGTACAATGTCAGTGGATGACTTGACTATCCCACACTCATCTCTTGATAGGTCTTACAAACTACAAGTCAGCAGATAAAATTCAGGGCTAAACTATATCATAAATTAATTGGATTTAACAGCTATCTGCAGAACATTTCATACAAGAGCTATGGAGTACACATCCTCAAATTCTAAAATTGAATACCTTATAAGCCACAGAGCAAGCCTTAACAAACATACACCAAAAAAATGAAATAATTCTTTATATCTTATCAGAACACAGTTGAAGATATCAATAGCAAAAGAAACCTCAGAAACTACACAAATACTTGGAGACTGAATAGAATAGACAAATTTAGAATGAACAATGAACAATTGAAATAATCATGGAGGAAAACTTTAAATTCCAAGAAACAAATGAAAATGATAAGACTGCCTTAGCTGCTTTGAAGACCTGGTAGATTGTGCTAAAAGGAATGTTGTGCTCATATTTAAAAAGTCCAATTTCTCAAATAACTTAATGATGC